CTTTTCTTCTTCTTGATATGGGTGTATGTTCACAGCTCCTCAATTTAATATTGACATTTTACCATTGCAGGTCCTTGTGGGAACTGGATCCAGAACAATGAAAATAATTAAAATAAAATCTCTGAAGATCTATGCGTTTGGTTTTTGTAAGTTTTAGTATTTCTTTGTTACTTCCAGTCTAATATTTTTTACATCCATTATCTTATTTGCTCTCTTATTTATTTATCTATTATTTCTGTATAGATGTTCATCCTAACTCTGTTTGCAAGAAATTGGGGTCAAAATATGCTTCTATTTCAGTAGATGAACTAAACAAACGCCATGATTTTTATGAGGATCTTCTCAGGTATGGACAACTATCATGCTACATGGAGTAATTCCCTATATTTCTCAGACATATTTTAGTGGTGAATTAAGATCGATATAATCAGTACATACTCAATCCTTTTTTCTGCTTTCTAATTTCTTTCCGAGCTTGTGTTTGCATATGGGTCCCATATTTCCCAAGTTGTTCAATTAGTTTTCATGGATCTGCTGCTAAGTTTCTGGTTTTGATAAACTTTCTGCTACTTTTTGGCCTACAGGGCAGATATTGATATGACAGTTAGGCTTGTGGTTAGTTGCAATGGGATGAAAATCAATACTGTGAGAGAGTAAGTTATATTTCTGTGTCAGCATCCCCTTGGATATTTATATGGGTTTGGATGTCCCTATTTTAAATGGGACAAAGACAATCTTGAGGCTTTTTTCGTTTTGATATAATCTTCTTGGCTTCAAGCTTTTACTGATAGAAGATTACTGTTCTTAAATATTCATAGCTAGGTTTGCTCATTGTGCATATATTCACCTGTTTCAGATATCATCATTGTTATGATACGATCTCGGTTAGCTCCATGTTTTGTAGTGGTTTGGGTAGGCTCACATTGAAATGGGTGGTGTGTTTGCGAGAAATTTTGAGAGTTGAGCTGAACTTGGATGTCTTAACCAGCTCTGCTGTGGGATAAATTTAGGCTTTAGACGTACGAGCTAGAATTTTTTACTAGTTCTTAACTCATTTATTATCTGAAACCAAAAATTGATTGTGCAAGTTAATATACCATGTTACCTAAGCTTAGTTTGAGCTAAGTTAGCCTTGTTCCTTTCTCACTACGTATCCTAGACATGTTACAACAATGTTGAAAATTGAAATTTAGTTTTATTCATTCTCATTTGTGTCCTCTGGATTATACTTGATGCAGTGCCTTTGAGAAATCCCTTCGAGCCCGATTGGTGAAGGTAAATCATCTCCCTTCATAGAATCGCTGTTTTGTGTTTCTGATCTAGTATTCGCTAATTCTTTTCATTTTTTTTGACCTTTTTTTTTCAGACAAACCCAGAGACTGACTTCCATTGCATAACAACATTCGGTTCAAACTTTACACGAGATATTCCGTTGCCAGCGGTAAACTTTATTACTCTTGCATTTCTTTTTTATATATTAAGTGATCACCAAATTACATTAACTTTTTGGAATATTTCAGGGAACAACGATTGATTTTCAACGAACAGCTGATGGAAAATTAATTACCAAAAGTGAGTGGGGATTGCTTTGAAATATTATATATGGTTTATGCTAATAATACATCTGTCAAGGCTTAACCATGATGGCAATTTGAGCGCAGAGTATACAGCTTGAAAAGACCCCAGAACCCTCCCCTGCTTCCCAATTCTCTTCACTTCTCTTTTCTGTATGCTTCTAATGCTCTATTTACCAGTTGAAGGTTTTGTTTGCTTAGAGTTTTGTATGAAATTTTGCAGTTGAAGGTAATCAGATTGGAGCAGTCCACAGCAAGGATCTGTGCAGTAAGTGAATTATCCTTTTGAATAATCTGTTTTATTTCGAAATTCTCCTTGGAGTTTTATATCTCGTCATGTCTCCATGAAATTGGTGAAGGGAATCCAATCGTATACTTTTGTGGGGGATATATTTCTAATGCACAATTGTACTTTCAGGGGCTTTCTTTGACATGTACCTCGGAGATCTACCCGTGTCGGAGCAAAGTAAAGAAGAGATTGGCAGAAATGTTGCTAATATTATTAGACGTTGCTAAAATGGTTCATTTGTCTCCATTGCCTCACTTTTTTAAAAGGGCAAGTGGTTGTTGATGCGGCAGAACTGCCTGCTGCTTAGCTGTATTATCCATTCGAGTGCACTCAAGCTCAACAGTGTCGGATGTCAAAGACGTCAATGTGGCCGAAAAGCATTACAAGGGCAATCAGTGAGCTTGCTGCAAAAGATTTAAGGCTTGGCTGGGGTCTCGCGGCCTCTTAGAATAGTTTTCTTATTAGTGTGCCATTCTTTGTAGCTATTTTCTGGTGATTTGCAGATGATAAGATTTGCAGTCCCTACAAATCATCAGCTTCCAAGTGTAGCAGCTGCAAGTATAGGGTTAATGATCTAAATAGTCCTCCAACTATTGCTCCAGTATCATTTTGGTCCACCAACTAAAATTTTCATTTCAAACGTCCTTAAACTTTTTATTTTTGTACCAAGATGGTCCATCCGTCAAAGTCTGTGTATTATTCCGTGAAATCGAGGGACAAAACTGTATTTTTAGGTGAGTATCCTCCTCTTAATGGGTTATTGATCCCAATGGTCCCCCAACTATTGCTCCAGTATTATTTTGGTCCACCAACTAAAATTTTCATTTGAACCGTCCTTCAACTCTTTTTTTTTTTTGTATCAAGATGGTCCTACTGTTAAAGTTTGTCAATTTTATTGTTAAATTGATGAGTAAAAGTCTCTATGAATTAAAATAGTAATATATAATTAAAAATTAAAGGAAACTATTATAAAACTTAGAAAATTTTAAAAAATTGAATCTCACTACCCACGTGGCTTTTTTTTTTTCTCTCGTGAGATTGGCCTAACAATTAATAATAAAAAATTCTCTATTGTTTAAATTAATTAAAATCACATAAATATAAAAATATAAAACAAACTTTTTAAAAGAGTAAACAATAATTAAAAATTAAAGGAAACTATTATAGGAACTTGTACCTAATTTTAAAATTGAAAAAATTGAATCTCACCACCAACATGGCATTTTTTTTATTTTATGACACGGACTAAAAAAGTAATATATTTTTCTCTATTGTTTAAATTAATTAAATTTTTTAAAATAAGATAAATACAAAAATAAATAATAATAAAATTGACGGACTTTGACGGTAGGACCATCTTGATACCAAAAAAAAAAAAAAAAAAAGTGGAAGGACGGTTCAAATGAAAATTTTAGTTAGTGGATCAAAATGATACTGGAGCAATAGATGAGAGACCATTTTAGTCATACCCTTCAATAGAGCTTCTCAAAAAGTCGCATATACCCTTTAAAGCTCAATCACATGGCCATCGCGTGATCAGAAGTGACGGAATCTGTCACGGATGGACCATCTTGGTACAAAATAAAAAGTTTAAGGATATTTTAAATGAAAATTTTAGTTGATGGATCAAAATGATATTGAAGCAATAATTTAAGAGACCATTTAGGTCATTAACCCGCAAGTATAAATTGCGTATGAACATCTTTTGGTTTAACAGTTATACATCTCATTATTAACTTATTGTTTCCTTCATCTCTTCAACTCAGTCCATTTCTGTGGGGAACATTTATTTATTTTATTTTTTGTGCGCGTGCGCCCGCAGTGTTACAGTGGCACTCATCACAACTGAAACATTCACACGTAATTTTTGGGTCCTATACAAATCTTAAACTTCGTAGCCTAAAATGGGTCAGGCTAAGAGCCTTCTACCAAATCTTCATATAAATTTGGAGGCCGGCCCAGGCCCTTGCTGTAGTGCAAAAGCAAGAGGGACGTTGAAGAGCACCAGTAGCAAGCTGGTCCCTCCCGTTGACGAAATTAATTAAAAATCATATTAAACTGTTCATCGAAAGGCCAAGAAAAGTATGCTTTGGCAAGACTATGTAATTGGAGATTTCTCGTACCAATTTTTTTTAACAAATGAGAGATTAGAGAATCGAGTTTCAACATTGGGAAGAGAAATATCACTATATTAATTGGACAATTTTATGTCTCAATTAAAGATCGTTCACAAAGGAAAAGTGACCGAGATACAACTCTTTTCTCATGGTGAAACTTGGCCGTCCATCATGGTATGCTCCATGGGGCTATAAACCAGACCTCTAGAAAACTTGGAAGCTTGCCGTCCATCAAATACGAAAGGAAATAAACATGTGGCTTTGAATTCAACAAAATCCGCGTCCCTTTGCACCCATGACGAGAACAATCATACCTTTTTATAAGGAGTTGAATTCAATATCTCCATGCCAATTGACAAGGAATTTAAGACCACTAACATGCTACATCATTTAATTTGACTAGTTGGTAATTGGTAGATCATATTGTATACCTCTATTATATAATTGTACCCATCAAAATTCATTTTCTATATAAACCTTCTGAGATCTATTTCTGTTAAATATAATTCAGAGGTAGAAACTTATGAATTCCAAGTAAATCCCAAAAAGAAGTGAGCAAATTTCAAGGAGGGGAGAAAAAAGAAGAGAGGAAATTCACCAAATCTAGTGACTTGTAATGGATGCTTGCTCATTTCACTATTTTGAGCTTCTCAAAACACACCCAAAAAAAAAACGCCCTCTCTCTAAATGCTAGCAAAACAAACCAACCAACCAAACTCCCTGAATGTGTACCATTTATTCAAGTATAGAAAAGGGTAACAAAATTGTTTGATTCCAACCCCACAATCTCCCTCTTCACCCCAAATCCCACAACCATACACATAATTAGCTTTAATCCCTAACCTCTACCTGGCTAATTTACTCCCTTAAACTTTCCCGCCATCACAAACCAAAACCAATTAACCAGAGCCACTTAGGCACCACCTCATAAATTACCTGTTGTCTAAACAAATACAATCCCTAAACAGAAAACACAACCATTCCCTTCTTTCCATTTTTTTTTCCCTCTCTCAATTCATTATTAAAAGTAGGCAGCATTGGGGAATTTTCATCTCATCCCTTCTTTTTTGCAGCCTTCTCAATTGTAATTGGGTTTCAAAAGGGTATATGGGTCCCCAGGCCATAAGAACATGGGCAGCCCTTGTGGCATGCCTTGCTATCTTTCAAGGACTCGTGCTTTGTGTTCATGCTCATGGTGATGTAAATTACAAGGACGCCCTCACCAAGTCCATCGTTTTCCTTGAGGCTCAAAGGTCCGGGAAGCTCCCTACCAACAATAGACTTGCATGGAGGGGTGACTCTGCCATCGACGATGGAAAACAAGCAAATGTTCGTCTCTCTTTCTCTTTATATAAGGATTAAATCTTCGTGTCACACCGTCACATGTCACATTACATTCTTCCTCACAACATGTACAATCCCTTCGAATTATTCGTATGTAACATTCGATTAATGTAGGTTGACCTTTCTGGGGGATACTATGACGCCGGGGACAACGTCAAGTACGGTCTTCCGATGGCTTTCACGGTGACAACTCTGTCGTGGGCTGCCATCTTTTACAAGACACAGCTTCAAGCTACCGGGGAACTGGAAAATGTTCTCTCAGGCATAAAATGGGGCACTGATTACTTTCTAAAAGCCAGTGCTCGAAAAGGCAGATTATACGTTCAGGTGGGAATTTATATTAATTGGTATTTAAAGTTTGTACAAAAATATTTTATGGTAATTAACTTGTGTTGTTATATATTTATGATAATTATTCAAGGTGGGAGACCCTAATCAGGACCATCAATGTTGGGTTCGACCAGAAGATATGCAGACACCAAGAACTGTGTTGGAGATCAATGAGAAAACGCCTGGAACTGAAATTGCAGCTGAAACCTCAGCTGCCATGGCTGCTTCTGCAATTGTGTTTAGAAGCATTGATCGTGTTTATTCTCGTCGCCTCCTCAACAAAGCCAAACTGGTACCTTATTTTCCAATCCCAATTAATTTTTTATATTAATTTTATGTTGTATAATTAATGATATGTGATATTATTATTTTGTGTGTGTGTGTGTGTAGCTTTTCCAACTTGCTAAATCGCATAAAGGAACCTACGATGGAGAATGCCCTTTCTACTGTTCTTACTCTGGCTACAATGTAATTTTCTTCAACTCTCTCCCTCTACAAATTGAATGAATTTTAAATTTGTGGGTGTTTTTGTTTTTTTTAAAAAAAGTAATTTTATTTTGAAATAATGAGTGAACTTTGTTTGATTTTGAAAAAAGTAATTAAAAATTGAATGTTGCAAATATAGGATGAGCTATTGTGGGCAGCAACATGGTTGTACATGGCCTCAGGGAAGCCAATGTATCTAAAGTACATCCAAGAAGAAGCCATCAGCGCTAATGTGAATGAGTTTAGCTGGGACCTTAAATACGCCGGAGCCCAAATCCTTCTCACCAAGGTGCTTAATTTAAACCAATATCAAACAAAAAACTATTTGTACCATCTCAACCGATCATTATTGCAACACACGTTATCGATAATCGAATATAAAAACTACAATTAACGGAGTTTGATTTACTGTTTTGTACATTGCAGCTGTTCTTTAAAGGAGAAAAAACCCTAGAAAACTACAAGAACCAAGCAGAAAGTTACATTTGCTCAAACCTCCCAGACAGCCCCTACAACCAAATCACAATGTCACCGGGCGGCTTGATCCACCTGAGAGATGGCGCCAACACCCAATACGTCACCGGTACTGCCTTCTTGTTCAGCGTCTACAGCGACCTGCTGGCCCACCACAACCAAAAAGTGAACTGCGGAGGCAAACAATTTGACTCTGCAGCCATAGCTACCTTTGCCAAGAAGCAAATGGACTATCTGTTGGGCCAAAACCCAAAAGGAAGATCCTACATGGTTGGCTTTGGACCAAACGCTCCCAAACAGCCTCACCACAGAGGAGCTTCGGTGCCAACGTCTGGAAGTAACGGCGTCAGCTGCGCCATGAGCTTTGTGTACTGGTTCAAGAAGGACGTGCCAAACCCTAATGAGCTGACTGGGGCCATCGTCGGTGGGCCCGACAGGTTTGACAACTTCGAGGACAAACGTTGGGCTTCGTCGTACACTGAGCCATGCACTTACGTGAATTCGCTCGCAGTTGGAGCCCTAGCCAAGCTTGCAGCTTGAAGACTCGTATATCCGTCCCAAACCCTAAATCCTAATCCCATGCATGACATTTACATTGATAGGAAGAAGTTTGGGATTTTGATATAACTTTTGTTAAAATTAAAAATTAAAAAAAAAACCCAAATGTACCATTTGTTGTAAGAAAGCTGTAAAAAGAAGGGTGTAAAATAGTGAAAGTTGAATATATATCTTTCTTTGGCTTTTGTGAAAGTACTAGTTTCCTTATTAAATAGAATAAGAAAGAAAACTTGTTGGCACAATATTTGATAGACTAATGAATGGAAAAGCCATAATGATATTGCATAGATCGATTGAAAAAGTTCATTGCTATACAAATTATGTTCATAGTTAATTTGAATCTTTAGTTCCCAAGGGCCACGACAAAAGTTGTAGTTTGCACTTGATGATATAAGTTAATATTTGTCACTTACAATAACTTTTTATAGAAATTCTTTATTCCACAATTAACCCAGAAGTGAGTGGACATTTTGCATTTTAGGGATTCGAGCTGAGAAATACTTCCATACTCCGTTACATTATCCCTTTATTTTTAGGGAGTTTCACTAAAACACCAAAAATGGGGGCTTAAATTATAAAAAAAACCCAAGCACTATTTAAACATATAAACACACCCAAAACCCATCATTACACACACTCAAAATTCATTTATAAACACACCCAAAAAGTTGACTTTGGGGTTGATTTTGGGTGTGTTTCTATGTTTAAATAGTACTTGGGTTTTTCTATAAATACATGTCTAGGATTGAGTTTATTTATAAATTTGTATTCTTGTTATCTCTCTTTTCCTTTAATAAGTACATCATAAAAAAAGAAATAAGTATAATTAAAATAAATAAGTTTTTCTCCACTCAAACTTACCTTCTTGTGAAAGAGCAGCCAAAGTCCTTACTCCTAAAATGATGCCCATGAGTCATGTTTGTTTATTTAATTTTCAGTACGATCTTAATTATTATGATGAATTTGTATTATACAAAAAATTAGGGCATGAAGTTACTCAATCAGCATCATATAACTTGATTAGGACCTAGAGTTCTTTTGATTGAATCAGAACTTGAAGTTCTTTGATTCCAAATAATTGAGGGCATGAAGTTTCGCAAATTTAAAGAGAACATAAGGACATGAAACTCCTCGATTTTGTATTAATCAAAATCAGAATTCCATGAGTCATACATATATCAAGAACCCGAACCAGAAGTTTCGAGTGCATATACATCGATTTGAGTATGAAGTTCAAAGCACAACTATTAATTCAATTTATTTAGATCTACGTATTCAAACCTGAAGTTTCGAATATATATTGATATGAACCTGAAGTTCATAGTTTTTCATGGATTTTAATACTATATATAAACCTAAAGTTCATTACTTATTTGTGCCTATATGAACCTGAATTGGTTGGAAATCCAATTCTTAAACTTATAGTTTTATCTACATATTGAATCCACATTAATATTAGATTATCTTAGAATTTCATAATCTTTAATTAATTTATTTTATTCCTCTTTTATACCACTTTACTTATTTTATTATATTATATTATATTTATGTTGGGTTATTAGTTAATTTTATTTTACAATGATAATGTTTTGTATTACCGCCCCAATATTGACAGCCAAAAGCGTCTATTGGAGAAACTTCATACTTTCTTTTGTGAGTAGGAAATTTATGATGTCATGAACCAAAAGTTCATGAGGCCCCAATATTACACAACTATTAAAGTAGTTGAAGTTTATGATGTCATGAACCAAAAGTTCATGAGGCCCCAATATTACACAACTATTAAAGTAGTTGAAGATTATGATATCATGAACCAGAAGTTCATTGACCGGATAACTTTTATGTTGTGGCATGACTATCTTGGCAACCCATATTCCACAATGATATATAATATTTTTACAAATTTGAAAGAACATCGTTTAAAGACTCAAAATATTGTCTTGTCCAACAAATATCATTACAAAAAATGCTCACAAATAAAAGCCGTCATAAGATCATCTCAGTCAAAAATTGACTTTGAGCCCTCTTTCTTGAAATAATTCAAGGGGATATTTGTGAGCTTAGACAATATTTAATTATGGATCACTTCACCATTTTTATTGAATATACCTATTAAAATGGTTACATATTTGTCTCTTGTCAAGACGCTTATGAGCACAACTCCCACATTATCCAATCCAGTATGGTGAGTTTATTTTCCTACATTTTGAGACAATTTTCCCGCCGTTAGGGGAAGAAATGATAGTTTCTGAAGAACGTAGTGAAATAGTGTTGAATCAGTCCGCTTTTGTCTCATCAAGATAATGCATATACAAAGTTATGAATATGCAAGCATGGATTGATATTCATGTATCACAATCCATTAACATGACAATAAGTGACTATGAGCATTACAAAAATATAGGTTCTAAAAACTTAACTCCATAGAAGTGGAGATTATTCAAAAAATTCAAGCCCTATAAAAAAATAACGCTCTATATGAGGTTATGATCCACATATTCTAATTAATTCATCGTAAAAGAGATGTTTGTCCCATAAGTGACAACATCAGCCCCTGAAGAGGTATTCGTACCCCAAAGCAATGAGATGTTTATAAATTATGCATGCGCAGCACATGAGAATTGTGGGATCACGAATTGATGATACATTTGGTTTATTAGTAGCTACTACAATCATCAAGGGCTATGGTTATATTAAATCTCGCCTTATGAATGTCGACAAGTTAAGTGATTGGCCAAAATGGAAATAGGCAATTCCATTTATCACTAAATATGAAGTGTGGGATATTGAACCTATAACTCAAATACCAAATTACAAATGTTAAGTATGAAGGTTACAAATTGGTGCTTATGAAGTGAAATAAGATCACTAATATGACATAAGGTTTCCTGGTAGAGACATAGTTTTAGTCTCTCATCTCATTATAGATGCATCCACATTTCTATACATATAGTTGTTATTTTAACGCGAAACTTATAGCATGTGTTAAATACATATTTATTAAGACTGTATGGTACATGAAGATCCTCAAAGCTCATGAAATATTTGAGATATATCGCATGAAGCGACCCCTTGAAGGATATAAAGTACCACGATATTCTTGATTAAGAGTTAACACTAAGAGTTTGAGTATTTTGAATTCAAATTTGATATTGTTGTAACATATTCTAACTATTAGATTAGTTGTTGATGCTACTAAAGAGTTCAATAATTTGAAAAGTGAAAAAACAAGTCGAATAGTGTGATAAACGATAATGTGTAAAGACAATGTTGCTTATATTGCTCAAATTAGAGAAGGGTTCATCAAGGGTGACATAGTTTCAGAAAAAAGCCGAGAGATTGGAGTTGAACAAATTCGTTCACAAGATAATTTGGCAAACCTTTTTACCAAAACTTTTTTTGAAGCCTAAATTCCAGAAGTTAATGAAAATTAAGGGGAGATATTAATCAGGGGAAGATACCAATCAAGGGGAGCATCCCAATTCTACTACATACAGGACATATGCGCGTTGTACTCTTTTCCCCTTCGACTAGGTTTTTGTCCCACTAGGTTTTTCCTAGCAAGGTTTTAATAAGGCAACATAAGCGCATCCAACATCATATCAATAATCCAAAAGAAAGTTTCATTTTTTTTCCCTTTACTTCGGTTTTGTCCCACTGGGTTTTCCAAGTAAGCTTTTTAATGAGGGAACTATGCCATTGTATGGTAGACATCCAAGGGGGAATGTTGTAAATGCATGAGTTGGTGGATGACCACCATACCTCTTAGTATTCCACCGTTAGATTTTATGTAACATATGCACTAAGTATTTGTAATTAGTGTTTGTAACTTATAGGTATATTGTAAATGATAATATTCAATTTCATATCTTGTAAGCCTATAAATAGGTAGTTCTACCAAAGTGGTATAAACGAGGAATAAAATAAATACAAATTTATAAATAAACCTAATCCTACACATGTATTTATAAAAAAACCCAAACACTATTTAAACATAAAAACACACCCAAAATCAACAATTGTATATTTTTTGGGTGTGTTTATAAATGAGTTTTGAGTGTTTGTAATAATGAGTTTTGGGTGTGTTTATAAAGTGTTTTGGGTGTTGAATTTTTTTATAATTTCAGCCCCTATTTTGGGTGTTTTAGTGAAACACCCTAAAATAAAATGAGTAAAGTGGTATAAACGTAAAATAAATAAATTAAAGGTTATGAAATTCCAAGATAATCCAATGTTAATGTGGATTCAATATGTATATAAAACTACAAGTTTAAGAATTGAATTTCCAACCAATTCAGGTTCATATAGGCACAAATAAGTATGAACTTCAGGTTCATATATAGTATTAAGATCCATGTAAAACTATGAACTTCAGGTTCATATCAATATATATTCGAAACTTCATGTTCGAATACGTAGATCTAAATAAATTGAATTAATAGTTGTGCTTTGAACTTCATACTCAAATCGATGTATATGCACTCGAAACTTCTGGTTCGGGTTCTTGATATATGTATGACTCATGGAATTTTGATTTTGATTAATACAAAATCGAGGAGTTTCATGTCTTTATATGCTCTTTAAATTCGCGGAACTTCATGCCCTCAATTATTTGGAATCAAAGAATTTCATATTCTGATTCAATCAAAAGAACTCTAGGTCCTAATCAAGTTATACGATGAGGATCGAGAAACTTCGGGCCCTGATCTTTTGTATAATATAAACTTATTATAATAATTAAAATCATACTTAAAATTAAATAAACAAACAAATAAAAAAAAATACGGCATCATATTCATGTGTATCAAAGGAAAAGGATTAATTTCTGATCCCTGGATTATCACAATGCCACGTGTTTGCCGACCATTTATTATCTTAATTAGGTTGAAGATGGTAATGCTAAGACTTGAAGAAATCAGAGATCCAAATTCGTACGAGTACAAATTAATTAAACGAAAATTAAAAATGTTATAATGAAGTCGTCAAAGCTTGAAAACAAAGATCTTATCCGAATTGGTCCCGAAAGTGGGTGAGTGGTGGTGGGGTCCTACTCCTACTCATTTTGGATAAGCCTCACCGGACTCGCGACTCACGAGGAGGAAAAACAGGACCAATCGCTTTCCATTTTGCCACGTCATCCACCCAACATTAAAGTTTCTCCCTCCCTCCCTCCCGAGGACCGACAAGATTCT